CTAGTGTCCTGGCCCCACTGGTGGACCTCCTGATGGCACCTGGTATTTTTGGCCACACTGTGACAGAATGTTGGACTGGATGGGCCATTGGCCTGATCCAACATTGGCTTCTTTTGTGTTCTTATGTTCTTAATTTGATATAAACTTCTGCACGAGCTTCTGAGCTAAGTATGAGGGGTACAATTTTAATATAGAAATAGGAAAATAAATATTTCTCTGGTGTGAAACTAACCCTACAATTATGAATGTTATTGAGAGGGGACTGAGGAACCCTCTCTATATGTTATAGTTAAAGAAGAATGAATTATTCAAGTAATGGGAACTGGGTTTTTTTCTGGGGTTTACTAAAAGGCATGGTCATTGGAATGTAAAGATGGACTAAAACAGGCCTGAACTGGACATTTTTCAGTCTTCAGAATTTGTTGTGTAATAATCATATTTTCTAATTACTGCTACCACAAAACCTAATCCTGTCCTCTTAACACTCTCATAATTTTATTATACTTAGAACAAAAATGCTACAGTAGATAAATTAACATAAATATAGGTAAATATAATCCTGGTTGTGTTCACCAAAGCAAAATGCCAGGTTGTAGGGCCTAACTTCTTGTAGTTCTACTATCTCTTTACCAAGCTGCATTTAATTGAATATTGGAGCCAGTATAGAATGGAGATGGTTAAGAAATGAATTCATCCATCACCATTGAACGATGTAAAGTTTAGTTTACATACAAACAAGCCATGTTAAGAACTTCATGAGCATTTCTTTTTATGTCATACAACAAAACACTGATGCAGAATGATAGCTGTTTTGGATTGGATCCAGACAGCTTTTTCACTCAGTCCTGGCCAATCCTCCTACTTGTCACAGCCCCCAGTTCACATGGCTTTTGTCCATGCAGGTTCAGTGATCCCAAGGGGATTAAGTACTCCCTTTTTCATCAGTGAAGACACTGGTTGGATTTAGCCCTTTGCACTTCAGCTAAGAAGCACTGAGAGAAGCTGTGATAAAATCACTCTAAAAATTCCAGGCACCAATAATGAAAGTTTTAGGCACCCTGACACCTGGGATTTGTTAAGCCCTGATCTAAAATGTACACAATTCACAGTTCAACAAAACCTCGGTGATTTCCTTGCTTGTTTCAAAGAGTGCCTGAAGTGTTTCCTTAAATATTCTTAATTGGGAAAGATTTTGGAAGACTCATAGTGAAAAGCAGCAGTGTGTATTGGTGCTTTTGCTCTCTGCTTATGGCATGCTGTGGTCTGGATGGTGTTGTTCATATGATGGGATAACAAGGAGACTGCATGGAAGGTTGACACTGAAGTCTTTTTGTTCCATTCCAGGGCTTTCCGGTTCTTCAGAACAGTTTGGTAGGGTTGGGATTTTAAGAATGAGAGCCTGGATGTAGAGGTAAAGCTTATGTTTAAATACTGAGCATGCAGGCTCAGGCTGGAAGAAGCGCTGGCAGATGAACTCTGAAATTTGAGCAGTGTGAGGGAGCAATAGAAAAGTTGAAAGAAGAATAAGAAGAGTTGGATTTTACACCCTTCTTTTCTCTACCCAAAGGAGTCTCAAAGCAGCTTACAATCCCCTTTCCTTCCTCTCCCTTGTGAGGTAGGTGAGGCTGAGAGAGTTCTGAGGGAACTGGGACTGGCGCAAGGTCACCCAGTAGGCGTCATGTGGAGGAGTGGGGAATCAAACCCAGTTCTCCAGATTCGAGTCCTCTGCTCTTAACCACTACACCACGCACCTTTAGAGGCTCCTTTAACTGTGTGCAGGAAGCTGTTTGAGGAGGATCTGTGCTGTTCGTTTACTTGTTGTTGTTCTCTCCCCCCCATATGTCATTACTGCCAGCAGCCTGTGCCACCTCTTTGTGCCTCTGATCTTTTGTGTTGTCCTCCAACGCAGCCATTTTATCCATTGTTTCAGGGTAGCACGGGCTGCTCTAGTTGACAGCACAAAGATGCCTCCCAGCTGTTTTCCCCTGCCTTGTTTCATCCTTGCCTTCAAAGGCTGTATTGCTTTATGCTGTATGCACCTGCTTGTTCAATGAGATCAATTCCCCCCCCATGAGTTGCAATCCAGAATGTTAAAGCAAGTAGTATTGCCAATAAAACATGTGTTCCCCCACCCCCAACTTGTGCTTTGTGTTTTTGTGTATAACATATATATATATTTTATAAAATATTACAAAACCTGAAATACATTTTGACTTTCATTGAGAATTAAATAAGTGAGCTGGGCTTTTTCCTTCTTGGCCATCAGTTTTACATAATAAATTGATTTGATAAGCTTGATGCTTTGGGTTATAAAATCAGCCCAGGGTTTTCAATGGCTTTAAAAAAATATTATGTTTTTTAATTGTCAGTTGCCTCAAGCAGGACTATATTTATTTTATTTTATTTATGTATTTATTAAATTTATATCCCGCCCTCCCCCGTAGGGCTCAGGGTGGCTTACATAGCAAGAAATCTTGCAATAATAAAAACATCAAGTACAATTTAGTAGCATTTAAAACATATTATACAATTTTATTTTATTTATTTATTTATTAAATTTATGAAGAGATAGCACAGAAATATCTTAAATAAATAAATAAATAAGTGAAACTGGATGCTTCCTTTCATGATCAGTGAAGTCTAGTCCATAAAAAGGCTTCAAGTACATTAACTAGTTGCTCCACAAGCCAGTAAGTCTAGGGTCCCCTGTGTCAAACCTGTTGAACCTGTGGGCCCTACCTAGAGCGTTAAGAACAGGTAGTGAGTGCTACAAGAAAATAGCTGTCATGGGGGAGGGGGTGACTATTCACAGCATGGGTTATGTGTGGGCTCGATCTGTTTTCAAAACACTGGAAGGTTCAGCAGAATGTTAGGAGGTTCCAAGCCAAGTGTTGGCATTCTCCTATAACAGAGGTCATTGTTTCCAGAGTAATGCTATCTCAGACACAATGATGTGGTCTGTGGTCTTCTGAAGCACTTCCTACTCTAATGAAATTGAGGAAATAGCCATGGTGTCCATGAGCACGATTTTGGAGAGCCACTGCAGTAGGTGGACTGCCTGAGACCACACAGGATCAGATAACACCATGTGATGTCTGAACCAGGTAGAGGTTTTCATGTAGCCTTTGGATAAACCCAAGTTATATATAATGCTGCAGCAGATACAGTTCCAATAATTTAACAATTTAATTATCCTCAAATCAGTTTGTTCATTCAAATTACTCCCTTTGGTGTAGTCATAATAGAAAGTGAAATTACAAAATTTGATTACCATACAAAGCAGCGATTCTTATACATTCATAATTGCACACTATGATAGCCTCAGTCTAGCAGCCCTTACTGGGAACTAAATTCAGCTGAAAGGAATAAGAATCATTAGTCATAATTAACTTCTTTCACTGGTTTCTGTGGGACTTGGTCATGACTACTGTTTGCTGGATAGGAATGGATTTTAAGGTATGAATAATTGATTTTTACATTCAATTTTACTGAGCTTCATGTGGATGGGGCTGGGTGGATGGGTTCTTTGGTGAGTGCATGATCATCTCCATGGCTTGGGTTCCAGTGAATACCTCAGCCATGATATCCAGTCACTGATTGTTATCAGTATCAATGCTCCAGGAACATAAAACATTCTTAGTTACCAGTTTGGTCACTTTATCCTGCTTTTTCTTCCAGAACCTCAATAATATCATCAAGAAGAGCACAACAAAGCTTAAATTAGACTGCCTCCTCAATAGTATAAGCTAAAGGCAATACTGGAACAAATTTATTTATTTATTTGATTTATGCCCCGCCCTCCCCACCAAGGCAGGCTCAGGGCAGCTTACAATAAAATTTGAACAAGTTTTAAAATAGATTAAAACCATAAAACATTTACAAGGTGCTATATAAATATTACATAAATATTGCATACGTGGTGATGAACATAGTTTTTAGATGTTGTCCATATCAGGTGTCCAGTCTACATTGGCTTATAGGGTTACTGTCCAGCTCATAATATATAGAAAACGGCATCGTACAATAGCCTTTAATAGATTCCAGGGCAAAGTTCTGATGTTGAGTGCGGCTCCTCAATTGAATGCCTGGTGGAAGAGCTCTGTCTTGCAGGCTCTGTGGAACTGTAATAAATTCCACAGGGCCCTGATATCCTCGGGGAGCTCATTCCACCAGCATGAAGCTGCCACAGAAAAGCCCCTAGCCCTGGTCATAGCCAGCTTGGTATCTTTAGGGCCCGGGAGAGCCAGGACATTCTGTGTCCCTGAATGCAGAACTCTCTGGGGAACATATGGGGAAAGGCAGTCCCTCAGGTATGCTGGCTCCTGACCATAAAGGGCTTTATAGGTAAGCACCAACACTTTAAAGTGACTTTGGTATGCTATAGGCAGCCAGTGTTGAGCTTTCAGTGCAGGCTGGATGTGCTCTCGCAAAGAGAAACCCAGCAACAGCCTGGCCGCCACATCCTACACCAGCTGCAGGTTCCAAATTTGGGATAAGGGCAGCCCCATGTAGAGAGCATTGCAGTAGTCTAATCTCGAGGTGACCATTGCATGGATAACAATAATAAAAAGCCTGAGAGTCCACTATTAGAGTACGTATAGTTGTTTTATTATCACAACAATCTTGTGAGGAAGGCTGACCCACTTGGTTAACTTCATGGCTTAGAGCAATTTTGAGCTTGGTTCTTGCACATTCAAACCATCCTCCAGCTTTTATGCTTCATGTCTGGTTTATATTTATACATGTAGCTGGGTAGTGGTTACACACACGGGAGTAACAATGTGTCTCACAAGCTGGATGGATGGACTAATACTTGGGTAGCTATTCCAAACATAGTTACCACATAAGCGTTAGGTGACTCCTGGTGATCCTTGCTATTGATAAGTAATGGTGGGTCCTATTGTCCTGATCTCCTATCAGGCTTTACTGCTTGTCTCCAGAGTTGGGAGCGGTAAAATAGATCTTAACCTAACTTCCTTTTCCCTCTTCTTTTCACATAGTTTATCCTCAGCAAAATGGGAATGTTGCCATAGTGACTGGAGGCGCTAAAGGAATTGGTTACCATACTGTGAAGTATCTGGTGAGACTCGGCATGCACGTTATAATAGGTACTGTTATTTCATTGATGCACATTTGTGTGGTTTTTACTTTGTTTAATTTCAGTATTAGTTAAATGTTTACTAGCCTTCCTCAGAGGAACTCAGAGATGTTTTAATCTCACAACCTTCCTTTCAAACAGATTAGATCAAGAGGTGGATTTACTACAGACTACTTTATAGAAATAAAATTAAAATCTAGCACCATCAACAGCACATTAAAATCCTGGTCAACAAATAGGAGGCAGAAAGCTGTAGCGTGAAGAACAAAATACTGTTTCCATGTGCACATGCACAAATCCTGTATGCACAATTATGAAACAGACAGCTACATATAGGAGACATTCTCTTAATACTTGATTTTCCTGATGTGAAGCCCTTGCAATAGCTGCTTGTGCAAGGAGGAAGTTGCTGTGCTTTTTGGTGGCTGAATCGTTGACAGGTGTAAAGGGTTGAGCTCTCTTATTTAAAATAGCACAGCTTGAATGCCTTGATTATTTCTAAACGGTGATGGAATTTGTTGCCATTGTTAGCAAAGTATATTACATTGGAGGAGGCAACATGACCAGCTGATGCAATGGCAAAATTCATGTGTAGAGACAAATCACAGTGTGTCATGATACTAACAAGCAGCCAGGAGAATTCTCAAACTCTCATAAGTCTTCCTCTCCCCTCTCCTGCATCTGAAAAATTAAGTGCTTCCACAACAAAGCAAATTGTATTGTTTTGGTCTGAATTCCAAACAGTGTTTTGTTCTCTGCCCTTCATAACAGAATTCCATTGTGGTATAGCTGTTAGAGTGTTGGATAAGGATCTGAGAGACCCAGTCTTGAATCACCAGAGTTCTTCTGTGGTTCTCTGGTTGGAACTGAGCTTCCTTTCATGGCTTCCTGGGAAGTTTCCCAAGTGGTTCCTCAGAGCTGTCCTGTTATATTACTGGTGCATTGATGTCTTATCTAGGGCTCTTATGACATTAAGACTTTTCTCCCGTTTGCTTTCAAACTACAGGGTGTTTTTTTTTGAGCTTCCGCACTATGTTGTGTTCTAATTGTCACTTTCTCTTTCTCATTGTGCTCTTTTGAAAACCAAGCATGCTCTAAAGCCATCTGGATTAAAGATGTGCATTATCTTGCTCTATAAAGCACTGGTGTTTTCCTTGTTGTCAGCTACTCACAGTTGCGGTTTTCCCCACTGCGCCATGGGTCCTGATCTGAATAGCCCAGGCTAGCCCGACCTTGTCAGAACTTGGAAGCTAAGCATGGTTGGACCAGGCTAGCATTAGATAGGAGACCTCCCAAGGAGTACCAGGATGATGACACAGGCAATGGCAAACCACCTCAGAATGTCTCTTGACTTGAAAACCCTACGAGGTCGCCATAAGTCAGCTGTGACTTGACGGCACTTTCTACCAAACCATGGCAGTGCTATGTTTTTAAAAAATTATAATTGCTATAGTGAATACAAATTTTTAAAAGGAGCTCTCAAAAAGGCCTCTTGGTGGTGCCATGGGAAGGCATGGAAAGTACCAGCCAGAAGAAAGTTTGTGGGAAACTCTGTGTGGAAGTTCTAATGCCAATATGCATCCCTCTGCATTTGCAGTGGCCATAAAAGCAATGACAAGAGTACTCTGTGGAAGCAGCAGAAGTGATGTGGAATCTTCCAAAGTGCAGCTTCTGCAGCATGGTAGAGCTCCACTATATGAAAACAACAGTCTTTTGGTTCAGCCAGCTTCCACACCAGCACTGTGCCTCCTTAGATTTTGCTGACATGATTGTGGGACTCAGGGACTTGACTGGAAATTTTGAGTAGAGCATTTTCAGAGCGCAATGCCTTCTAGCTTTCTTGGAAGCCCTGCTTAATATAGAAGAAGATTAAAAACATAAATTCAGTGTCTGTTGCTATTTTAACTTGCAGTTAAAAACTTAGCTGAGTCCCGTCGTAATTCAGATAATAGAATTTTGAAATGCTCGTCAAATTGTCATTCATTTGCATCTGAATTGCTGCGTTCTTGTTCTGTAAAAGCGCAAATATGCACACTGAAGAAGTGACTGGCCTGTCTTCATGTCTATTTTGGTTACTTTATCAGTAGTCACAACATTTTCTAGTTTGGTCACTTGGGTAAACAGAGTTTCTCTTATTTTCCTTCCAGGTAATATTAAGCTTGACAGGCTGTATCATCTGATAGACACTGCAGTGGTTTACATGCCTTCTAAATGTTCAGATATAACTTCTCTTGTTGTACCTGTTTTTTGGGAGATAAAATGTTATGTTTATATCTCTTACTACAGTAAAATGAGTAGGGATTTTAGCATTTCATCTGCATCAAATTATCCATGTGACTATAGTAAAATATTCTAGGCAAGGTTCTTTGCTACAAATAATTATCACTATTACATTATAAAGGGCAGACCAGACTGATAGTAATATTGGGAATTTTCCACTGAAGTCCTTTGCCAGATCACTGGAATAGTATCCTGACAAGATGGAGGTGATACTGCTTGGCAAGGTATCTAGTTTGGAGAAGGCTGTCTGTTTTAGATGGGATTCAGTTTTCTTTGACAGACACTTTGAAGAGCCTGAGAGTTTTGTTAGGCTTGGTCCTGTTATCGGAGAAACAGGTGTTTGTGGTGGCAAAAAATGCATTTTTCCAAATGCATCTGGATCATAAGTTGTTCCCTATTTGGAGACTGCCAGCCACATTGGAGACATTGATCCACATAACAGTAACATTGAGGGTTTGTTATTGTAACATGCTTTATGTGGGGCTACTGAAGGCTATTTGGAAACTATAGCTGGTACAGAATGTGGTAGCCTGTTTATTTTAAGGGCTATGTGCAGGGAATTTATTAGTCCCATCTTACAATTATTGCATTGGTTGCTTGTAAGTTTTCAGACCCAATTCAGGTTTCTGGTACCCACTTTTAAAGCTTGTTTTCAGAATCACGAGTCCAGGCTTCTTATATTTAACCACTGTAAACCAAGTCCCTTGAGCTGGAGGGTTGTGAACTGTCTCATCACCCACACAATCCTTTTCCTTTTAAAATTTCCACCTTCAGCTCTGGGTGTATGAGACAAAGTGGATTTATTTTCTTTTCCTTTTCCATTGTACAGGACCACATAATCCTTAAACAAGAAAACAGAGTAGATACTGATTAGAACCCTTTTACCCTAGTTCCTGTAGAATCTTGCCATGGGTTGTACGGTTTGAGTAAAACACTGGAGTCAAGGATAACAAACACACTTAAGATAATTTAATTTGTAAGTGTGACACTTAATTCCTTCCCACTCTAGTATGATACATGACACAAGTTACTAAAGTTGGGACATGTTTTACGTTTGTTTATTATGAAGTAGATTTTTTAAGAAGTTCAGACTTGGAATAATCATCAGACAAGCATCAACACTTTACTGTTTTTATATAGGAATGGCACTCAGACCCTCTCTGTCTAAACAATACTCTAAAGTCCCCATCTCAGGGATCCCCAATCTTTTTAAGCCTGCAGAGCCCCTTTGAAATCCTGAGGCAGGGTAGTGGGCATAGTCACAAAATGGCTGCCACAAGAGACAAAGAAAATCTCAAAATGTTAGCAAGTGCCGTTTATGTATAACTTTAATAGCAACTTTTCGACATTTCAGACAGAATCTCTGATCTCCAAAGCCAATCACATCTCTAATGGCATGTCAGAAGCCCTGGTGGACAAAAGCTCCATGTAGCCTTATCCACTTGCTAAAAGCACTTGGTGCCAGGAAGTGTTAGTGGCCCACTCCAGGATACCTCCTGTCTCCTCCTTCCGGCTCCTTCTTTTCAGTTAAACCACCTCAAGGGTTCCCCCCTCAACTTAATTTTTATGTATTACATTTATACCCTACTCTCCCCTGTACAGCAGGGCTCAGAGCCTCCTTCCAGCTCCTTCTTTTCGGTTAAACCACCTCAAGGGTTCCCCCTCAACTTTATTTTTATGTATTAGATTTATACCCCACTCTCCCCTGTACAGCAGGGCTCAGAGCGGATAACAACAACATTCATAAAACAATATCTATAAAATTAAACTATTAATACAATTCTTAAAGTATACTGAATATACTAATAAGATGGCACATGAAAAGGGAAGCAAAGCCTAGTGCCCCTTATCGGGGGGAGGGAGAGTAAATATCCTACAATTAATCAAATGAGGAAATAATAGACACAGAACGGGGGGGGGGGGGGGGAGGCCAATCTAGAATGGAAGCTGTTGCTGCCCTCAGCTGTAAGCCTGGCGGAACATCTCTGTCTTGCGGGCCTTGTGGAACTGTATCAAATCCCACAGGGCCCAGATCTCACGCGACAGAGCATTCTACCAGGTTGGAGCAAGGGTCGAAAAAGCCTTGGTTCTGGTTGAGGATAACTAGATGCTTTTTGGGGCCAGGGATCACTAGTAGGTTGTTATCCATTGGGGGATGTACCAGGAGAGGCAGTGCCAGAAAGATGCTGGTCCCAAAATTTTAAATCTGATTCAGGATTTTAAATCTGATTGGTCTGAGCTAAATGGGGAAGAAAAGAGGGCAGAATGTTCTCCTGTTTGTCACACCCATTACAACCTAGAACCCACACTTCATTATTACCTATACTGATAAAAAATTGCAGTAAATGTGCTGTGCCCAACAGCATTTATTGGTTGCTGTACTCCTCCCACATACCAATGATTCTGCTGCTGCTGCCTGATCATAGCTTTTTGGGTAATTGTTTTAACAATATGGAACAACCTCCCAGCTGAATTAAGGCAAACCTCATAGATACACTTTTGGAAGGAATGTAAATTGGAACCTTTACAAAGGCCTTTGGAAGTCATGTGATTGCATTATGGTTTTTCAGGACACTTGGGGGGTAGGCTTTCTAAATTTGGTATTATTTATTTGTTATGCTTGCCCATTTAATTATGTGTTTAATTTTCTGATTCTTTCCCAAATTTTTGGATGTTTCTTCCCTTTTTTTGGGGGGGAAAGCGGGCTTATAAATATTTTAAATGAATAAATCACTATTTTTCATTGGTTCAGAACACATTAGCATCATTCATTGGGGGTAAGACTCTGGAGCAAACACGAAGGCTACCAACCTCCAGGTGGGGTGTGGAGATCGCCCAGGATTACAGCTGATCTCCAGATGACAGAGATCAGTTCCCCTGGAGAAAATGGCAGCTTTGGAGGGTGGGTCCTGTGGCATTATACTTTGCTGAGTTCCCACTGCAGGCCCCACCCCAAAAATATCCAGGGGTTTCCCAACCAGGAGTTGGCAACACTAACAAACACAGTGAAGTTGTTCTTAATCTTACAATACTTCATATTGTGGGGAGTGCTACAGATGTACAGTCTTCTGTTGGAAGTTCAGCACTAATATTTTAGGGTGTCTGCTGCCAAGGGTTGGATTTGCGAGCATTTTGCACTGAGCCATGCCTTTCATAGAACTCTGTCATTGAATTAAAAGTTGGTAGGGGCCTAAAGACCATCCTTTCCAACCCCCTGCACCATGCAGGATGACCTAAAGCATCCCTGACAAATAATCATCCGACTTCTACTTACATACTTCCAAGAAGGAAGAACCCACAACATCCTTGGGCATCTGATTCCACCACTGAACTGTTAAAAAGTTTTCCCTAATATCCAACCGGTATCTCTCCAGCCATAATTTAAACCCATTATTATGAGCGTTATCCTCCACTGCCAACTGAAATACCACCCACCTCCAACAAGGAAGAACCCACAACATCCTTGGGCAACTAATTCCACCACTGAACTGTTAAAACGTTTTCCCTAATATCCAACCAGTATCTCTCCAGCCATAATTTAAACCCATTGTTATGAGTGTTATCCTCCACTGCCAACTTAAATAGCACCGTACCCTCCTTTAAATTACAGCCCTTCAGATACTTAAAAAGAATAATGATATCCCACCTCAATCTCTTCTTCTCCATGCAGGAGGAGGAGGAGGAGGAGGAGGAGATTGGATTTATACCCCGCCCTTCACTACCCAAAGGAGTCTCAGAGCAGCTTACAAACTCCTTTCCCTTCCCCTCCCCACAACAGACAACCTGTGAGGTAGGTGGGGCTGAGAGAGCTCTGACAGAAACTGCTCTTTTTCAAGAACAGCTCTTATCAGAACTATGGCTTGCCCTAGGTCATCCAGCAGGTGCAAGTGGAGGAGTGGGGAATCAATCCTGGTTCTCCCTCCCAGATGTCCGCACACTTAACCACTACACCAAACTGGCTCTCAGATCCTACAGCCTTTCTGCACAAGGCTTAGTCGCCAAAGTCCTAAGCATCCTTGTCACTCTCCTCGACTCCTGCTCTGAAGTTTCTATGTCCTTCCCATAAAAAGGTCTCCAGAATGGGACACAATACGCCAAACAGGGTCTGACCAATACTGACACGTTTCAATGTTCTAGACACTATGTCTCTGTTGATGCACCATATGATCGAGTTTGCCTTCTTTGCTGCTGCATCACACTGGCTACTCCTAATTTGCAGTCCACCAAACCCCCAAGATCCCATTCACACATGGTACTACCTATAAGAGTATCCCCCATCTGGTATGTGTGCATAATATTGTTACTACCCAGATACGAAGTCTTACATTTATCTCTACTAGATTTCATACGTTACATTTGTCTCTATTAAGTCTGCTCAGTTATGAGTGTGTAGGATCAGTGCAGTAGGCAGTGCCTAGAAATGCTGCTCCTATGGATTGTCAGCAAGGGCTCTTTATACCACATTGCTAGGTGGCAGGCACTTTCTATCAACCAACCTTATTATTGTCCCTTCAAAATATTGTTTGGACCGTGATCCAAAAATCTGTACAAATAGTTCTGCATGCCCAGTGAATGTTGGAGTTTTGTTACTTGAAAAATGAGCCTCTATCCCATATAGTGGGAAGGGAAGTCTGCATGGTATAGCTCAGTCTCATCAGATCTCAGAAGCTAAGTTGGGTCGGTACTTGGAAGCGAGATCACCAAGGAAGGCTGTACAGAGGAAGGCCATGGTAACCCCCCCCCTGCTTCTCACTTGCCTTGAAAGCCCATTGCTGGGGTTGCCATAAGTTGGCTGTGACTAGATGGCAGTTTACACACACACACACACACACACACACACACACACCATATCGTGAACAAAAGCCTAACTTGAAACAGTCCATTGTGTACGCCATTGTCCTTGGGAGAACAATTGCCTTGCGAGGGCAGACACAATAGTAGGCAATGTCCAGTCACGTTGTAGTAGTGTGCCATCCCCCTTCCCCAGTTGCCAATTCATCTCAAGTAAAAACTGTCACTTGACACAGCAGAGTGCTCTGCTCTTTGAAGCAGGGATCCCTTGACATGGCCAGATGAAGTTGATGATATCTTCAATGCGAACTGCAGATCTGAAGTGCAACTTTAGTCCTGTCAACCATGTTCATTGCTGGCTTTATGACACCTAATCCTGAGTTCTCAATTTTGCAGCAAGTTGACAGCTGTAGAGTTGTGCAGTCAAAGCATCAAAGAGGCCCCCTTTTTAGCCCATGGCTGGCTCACAGGCTATTTCATCATTGGCTGACAGCCCTTGCTGCAAACTACCTCTCTGTAGCTGCCTCCTTCAGTTCATGCAGGGAGAGGATAGCAGTGGGTAGCATTGCTACTCCTAGAAGGACATTTCCGTGAACTAGCAGTAGCCTGTGGCTGTAGTAGACCTTGACCAAGTACATTTTTGCCTATTGGGCAGAGTAGGCTTGTTGGTGAATTTACGATTTGCATTTGCCAAAGGTTCATCATTGCTCTGCTTGTAGAATGAGAAGGCTTTGTAAACTATTGCCAACAGCACAGTTCAGAATTTTCAGCGATATCATTTCTTTAAAGCTGTACCCATACGGAAGCCTTTCTGTTATGAATGAATAACCAACATTGTTAATGTACAATATGTTGCCCAAATGAAATGAATATATTGGATGCTCAACAGAGTGCTGGAGGAGGCTGAAATCTAAAAAACCTTGCAGGGATTGCTGCAGAATTTCCCTTTTTCCCCCAACAAGACTTTTTCCAGTACTATAGCATGTTGGACTTGAATTCCCTGCTGTAGAAAATTATTTAGGCTAAGAAAGTGAGGGGACGTGATCTCATGCCCATAGCTTCTTTTAAGAAACGCTCCACAGATATGGCAGTTCCACTGGAGGGTTTGTTTGTTGACACCGCATCTATTTCTAGAGATTAGGATCAAACTGGATATTTCCACTGTGCAATTCTGGATGATCTCTATAGGAAAAAACAACAACAATGTATACTGTGTGGGAGTTTGTTTTTGGTTTTAATGGTAAAAGAAAAGAGGCACCCACTGATCTGTGCAGATATAATTGAAGCACTGCTCTAATATATCCATTGGTGGGCTAATATTCATGTCACAAGTTCATAGGCAATAACCACTTCCATATTCATAATTAAATATTATAAGGCCACCCATCTGAAGTGGCTGTACAAGATTTTCCTTGGGCTTGAGAAAAAAATAGGTAAGACAATTGTTGTTGCAAACTATTAAACCATTAGCAAGTTATAAATTTCTGCCAGAAAACAATACATTTAAAACGAGAGCATCCATTTTGTCTGTTTGCATACTTACCAAATAATGTTGCAAAAAGATCAGGATCAAAGACATATGTTTAAACCTGTGGCAAGAGTAGAATAGCTATTATGGAGGGATGTAAACAGGCTTAGATAGGTCAACTCACGAAGGCCCCTGCCACACGGCAGGGAAAACACCGGTGAAAGTGCGGCTAATTAGAGCCGCACCAAAATAGAGACGCTGCGGGTGGGATCCCACGGATCCCGTGAGCCGCACACCGTTGCTCCCCGGCACGATCAGATGCCGGGGAGGAAGAGACGAGTGGGAGGGGGAGGCTGCCGAACTGCGCATGCTCGAGCATGCGCAATTTGGCCTGGGGCCGGGGATGCGCCGGCACAAGGACGCGCCGCCGATCCCACGGCCGCACTTGCCGCGGCCCTTCCGATTTAACCACCCAGTTAGGTGGTTCTTTTTTGGTGCGCTTTTTCGGCGGAAGGGACGGATGGGGGACGGGCGCAGCATGATTCCCAGATATTGCTGTGGGATCGCGCCCGTTTGCTGTGGCCCCGATCCGTCCCTCTCCCGGCCCAAAACCCCTCGTGTGAACAGGGCCGAATACATGACTATATCTGTCCATCCTATGGTATGAGGCAGTCTCATCATGCTGGGTCAACAGGACATGCACCAGTTAGCAAATGTAATGGGGAGGGCAGTGGATCTTTCATTTGTCTTCTGGGCCGGGGGTTCAACTCCTAACATTTTGAGGTTCAAATCTCTACCCAAAAACTATATCAAGGTAGGTAGCAATTTAGTGATCAAGATATTTATATCTTGAACAGGTATACCAAATATTATTTCAATACACTGATGTTAGACCAAGGAACTGTGTTGCAAACATAAAACAAAGCTTGAGTATGTGATATTGCCTGACTTCTCTTGGTCAATAAAACACCTTTTGGTCAATAAAAAACCTTTCTCTGTTACATGAACTGATCTGCTTTTTGTTGTTAAGGGACCCCTGGCCTTTCCCATCTTCTTTTTATATCAGCAGTTCTGCTTCATTCACCTCAATAATTAATCTAATATTTTGGCTGTGGATTCTTGCAGAAATGAATGTCAAGCTGTGAGTTAGTATTCTGAAATATTTGCAATTAATATTATTATTTTTCTCTAATTTGATTCGCAGCTGGAAACAGTGAAAGTGAAGGCCAAGAAACTGTGATGAAAATAAAAGAAGAAACTTTGAATGCAAAAGGTATTTATTTCTCTGTGTTAAAAGAATCAGAATTGAATTTTTTTTCTTGAATTAAATATTTAAATATTCCAGTCCAGTGTGTGCAATTTTTTACAATACCAATATCTTTCAGAAACTGGTACATTTCTACTTTTGATCTGAAGTAGATGGGGCAGAAAAGGTGATGGCTACACATAATATTGAGTTGCTGAATATGTTGGGAATGTGTGGTGTGTTGGGGGAGTCAGCAGAGACATACTAGGGCTCATGTGTTGTCTAATCTCTATCCATCCACAGATATGGTAGGAGAACTTTCAGTAAACCATCCTCTTTTACCTTGATGGTGTGTAATGCTGGATTTTAAAGCAATAAAATGTTCTGTATAATCTTCTGGTGCCAGATTAAGTAGTGCCAGTTTGGTGTAGTGGTTAAGTGCGCAGACTGTAATCTGGGAGAACTGGGTTTGATTCCCCACTCCTCCATTTGCACCTGCTGCATGACCTTGGGAAAGCCATAGTTCTGATAAGAGCTGTCCTTGAAAAAGAGCAGTTTCTGTCAGAGCTCTCTCAGCCCCACCTACCTCACAGGGTGTCTGTTGTGGGGAGGGGAAGGAAAAGGAGTTCATAAGCCGCTCTGAGACTCCTTTGGGTAGTGAAGGGCGGGGTATAAATCCAATCTCTTCTCTTCTTCTCTTCTAGCATATTTGACCAAGATGTGGCTGGATGATGGTAATATGTGATTCAAAAATCACTCTGGCTTGGTTTGGGTCCTTCATACACTCTCTGCAGTCAGATAAGGGCATTAAATATGCAATATGTGCTATGGTCAGACTGATATTTACTGATGGAATGGGTGGTTTCTACTCCTCCTAATTGCAGGAATGGCAGGCAGATTAAAATGGTCTAGCCTCAGAGACTGATGGATCTACTTGGCCTCTGGAATGTTCTGAGGGATTTTGAGAATCTGAGCAGCAACTCCACCAGGGTGTTGATAGGAACCTGGAATGCCAGGCATCTTGAGTTGTTCACCGGTGTCCTTTTCTGTCTTTGAAAGGAAAATCAGTTTCATAGTTTACTATGGAGCAGTGGGAACTAAAAAGGCTAGAAGATACCTGGAATATTGTTGTCATAAAACGGGCTGAATCTGATAGAGCACACTAGAGAAAACATTAGCATTTATGTGAACATTAGCTTATGAGGTCGTAAATGACAGGGTCAAAGGTGTTATAGTTCCTGCTGTCATTGCTTCATGTTGAGTACAACAATTTAATTTGGTGGTTGATGACTTTGAATGTGGAGTTCCAGAATAGGTATTATCGCTGTAACAATTGTTCATGATTCTTCAGTAATAAAATCTTTCAAGCCTTCCCCAATGTGCAACTGTATAGTTAAACTTGCTAGATAGCATAGAAATAAATGGAAATTTTGTGTCATACAGTTTTTCTCCATGTGGAAGTCTAATTCAAAGACTTGCCAGTAGTACATTTTTGATCATGCATATGTGTGGTGTTGAGTTTTCTAACAGACCATCCTATAGGTTCTTTAGGTCTATGTGTGTTTAGATTCTAACACTTTTGATGGCATTTAAAATAATTTGTCATTAATTCTGTGATGACTTATTCTGTAGGAAACATTGAAGAAGTTAAGGAATTACTGTTCTACCTCTGTTTTCATTTATTTCCTAAAACCTTTTATTGGGAATTTTACTCTGAGTAAGAATTTCTCCCAGGATTGAATTATACCATATCTCTTTTAGTGAGTCACACATCTGTTTTAAGGTTGTTAAACATTTTTAAGCTAAATAAATCTTTTGTTTTTATCAGAACAACCATAATTTATTATTCTTATTTTATTTATTTATTTAAAGCTGTCTAAACTGTATTGGACATTGTACTTTAATGAAATGAATAGGTTTTAGCCCACATGTTCTTGATAAAAAAACACCATGAAACAAAAAAGGAAGTAAAGGTATGTGTGTTTTGTGCCATTGAGTCACATCTGACTTATGGCTCCCCTATGAATTGACCTCCAAAACAGCCTATCATTAATAGTCTTGCTCAGGTCTTGCAAACTGAAGTCCATGGCTTCCTTTATTAGATCAGTCAATCTCATATGGGATCTTTTCCAATGGCTTTCAACATTTTCTAGCATTATTGTCTTTTCCAGTGAGTCTTCTCTTCTCATGAAGTGACCAAAGTACAATAGGGTCAAATTAGTCATTTTAGCTTCTAAGGAGAATTCAGGCTTGATTTTATCTAGAACTCACTTGTCTTTTTGGTGTCCCACAATATATGTAAAACTCTTATCCAACGGCACATTTCAAATGAATTGATTTCTTTCCTGTCAGCTTTCTTCACTGTCCAACTTCTGCATCGATACATAATAATGGAGAATGCTGTAGTATGAATTATCTTGATCTTGGTCTCCGGCAGTGCTTCCTTACGCTTAAGGATCTGTCCTAGTTCCAAGTCTTAATCTTCCTCTGATTTCTTGGTGGCAGTCATCCTTTTATTTGTTGATTGAGCCATGGAATAGAAAATCTTTAACAATTTCAGTTACTTCATTGTCAGTTTTAAAACTGTGATGATACATTAAAAAGAAGTGGTTCAATAAAAGCAATATTATAGTATTATCAGCACATTTTTGAACCTGTCAATATTATCAGATTAATTATTTCTGCAATGCTTTTCTTCCCTTTGTTCAATTCTTGGTAATTGTAAATTCATAGGTTTACCTATATCTTCTCTATATAATAATTCTGTTTTGGTAGTGGCACTCTCCTGAACACTCCACACGTTCCCAAATCAGTTGGCTCCCTGATCTGTCACTCATAAGTTGTCCCTATTTACTGGCTGCGTTGCCTGAGTCTCGCCTCCAATATTCTAAACAGTTTGCTTTCCCTCTCTCCCCAATAGCCAGTAGGAACACAGAGGTAATTTGCACATGTGGCCTAATTGGCCTTTGCCTCTAACATTCTAAACAGTTTGTTGTTACTGTTGGGAGTCATTGAATGTGTCCAGAGGTAAAATACATATCCCAGTCTTCCCTCAAATGGTCACTGGAGTTGCCAATCTCACTGTAGGGTCTGGAGATCTCCCAGAAATCACCGTGTTCCCCAGCCACAGCACATAATTTCCCCTACAGAAAATTTCCCAGCTATTACAATGGCTGCTTTGTGCAGTGGACTCTATGGAATTATACCCTGCTGAAGTCCCTCTGCACCCCAAACCCTGCCCTCTCCAGGCTCTGTCCCTCAAATCTACAGGTCTGGCCCTCCCCTTAGTATTGCCAACCTCCAGGCAGCACCTGGAGATCTCCAAGATCAGTTCTCCTGGAGAAAATGGCTGCTTTGGGCAATGGACTCTATCGATGTATACCCTGCTGAGGTCCCTCCACACCCCAAGCCCTGCCCTCCCCAGGCTTCACCCCTCAAATCTACAGGTATTTCCCAACCCAGAGTTGGCAACCCTGTAACTGGCTCTGGAACCGCTTTCCAGACCCTTGGAACCCAGAAGACATGGCATAGGATGAGGTGCTTTTCTACCTTTGCTACCACTGCATAACCCCAAATCAACATAAGTTAGGGGTGGAGGGAACCATACCTGTTACCATGAGCCTGTCCTCCCATATGACCCACTTGGGGCAGCAAAATGACTTGAGACAGACCTGCCATATAGCTAAGCAGAAGGAAATAAACATGACTTGCCTCCCTCTATTTTCCCCTTCCCTCTGCCACCCCACCAGCCACAGCCAAGACACTCACCTGGAGCTTCCTTCTAGAACTCATTGTATTTCTTCCCACAGTGGGCCTTACTCCTAGTAGAATATATAGTATATGTTTACTGCATGCTTGCTAAGGTAAAATAAAATTTTTAAGTTAAAAAAAGAACTCTTCTTCAGGTACTTCTTCACGCACATGAAAGCTTATCCCTTGAATAAAAGTTTGTTGGTCTTAAAGGTGCCACTGGACTCAAGCTGTTCTGCTGCTTCACAGCAACACCGGAATCTACTTTTAAAACTGTAATTCCTCAGTAGTCATGACTTTTGTCCTCTTGATGTTCAGGTGTAATTCTGCTTTGGCACTTTCAGCTTTAACCTTCGTCAGCACTTAAGAACATAAGAACATAAGAGACGCCAATGTTGGATCAGGCCAAAGGCCCATCCAGTCCAACACTCTGTGTCACACAGTGGCCAGAAATACCAGTGCCATCAGGAGGTCCACCAGTGGGGCCAGGACATTAGAAGCCCTCCCACTGTTGACCCCCCCCAAGCACCAAGAAGACAGAGCATCACTTGCCCCAGAGCCCCTAGCTATACCTTGTGGCTAATAGCCACTGATGGACCTCTGCTCCATATGCTTATCTAATTCCCTTTTGAAGCCATCCATGCTTGTAGCACCCACCACTTCCTGTGGCAGTGAATTCCAAGTGTTAATCACTCTTTGGGTGAAGAAGTACTTCCTTTTATCCGTTCTAACCCGACCGCTCTGCAGTTTCATGGAGTGCCCACGAGTTCTTGTATTGTGAGAAAGGGAGAAAAGTACCTCTTTCTTTACCTGCTCTTTCCCATGCATAATCTTATAAACCTCGATCATGTCACCCCTCAGTCGTCTTTTCTCCAAGCTAAAGAGCCCTAAGCGCTTTAACCTTTCCTCATAGGGAAAGTGTTCCAACCCTTTTATCATTCGAGTTGCCCTTTTCTGCACTTTTTCCAAAGCTATAATATCCTTTTTAAGGTGTGGTGCCCAGAACTGCACACAGTATTCCAAATGAGGTCTCACCATTGATTTATATAGGGGCATTATTATATTGGCTGATCTGTTTTCAATACCCTTCCTAATAATCCCCAGCATAGCATTGGCCTTCTTTATTGCAGTCGCACACTGTCTCGACATTTTCAGTGAGTTATCCACTACAACTCCAAGATCTCTCTCTTGCTCAGTCTCTGCCAGTTCAGACCCCATCAATGTGTATTTATATTTAGGATTTTTGGCTCCAATGTGCATCACCTTGCACTTGGCCA